GGGGCTCAGGTGGCCTACGGGCCTCGTGTGACTTCTAGCCGAGCCTAGCGTTTCTAAACCCTGTGTTCTCCTTGGAGCACTGGGGAATGCGCCCTCTGGTCCCAAACACCCGCCATGACAGTTACAGCATCTGCCCCGCCCCCAGCCCCATCCTTGCTAAGGAGACACAGCACCTCAGGGTCCCCTGTGTGACAGGAACTCGGCAGAGAGGTCAGGGGTCTGGACCTGCGGAGGGGCCGGGGGCCAGGCTCCTGTCCCAGTGCCGCCCTCACTGTCCCGGGGTCCTCAGAGCCCAGCAGTGCTCTTCCCAGACCCTGGGCTCCTCTGCAGCAGGTGCAAGCCCAGCCCTCCCTCCACACCCCCTGATGGAGAATAACCTGGCTTCCAGGCCGCCCTCCCACCGGGGCCCTGAGCTGGTGCTCCACTCTGCTTCCTGCTGTCCGGCCACATGGGCCTCTCGTGTGACTGGAACACACCGTGGTCTCCCCCCGAGGCCTGGAAGGACCGACCCCAGGTGCCCACAGGGCCACTCCCTCCTGTCACACAAGGCCAGCAGGGGAGCCCCGCCCAGCCCGCCGACTTGTCCACAGCACTCCCCACCGCCTGGCATCGCAGACGACCGACCGTCTGTGGAACTAGCCAGACCACGAGGACAAACACTGGCTCCACTCATACAGGGCACCTCGAGGCGCCAATTCATCGAGGCCGGAGGTGGAAGGGGTGCCAGGGGCTGGGGGTGGACAGAAGGAGTTGCTGTGTAACGGGGGCAGCTTTCAGTTGGGGATGGTGGGAAGTTCTGGGGATGGATGGTGGCGATGGCTGCCCAGCAGGTGTAAATGTACTCGGTGCCCCTGAACTGTATGTACACTTACAAACAGCTAAGATGGTAAGTCTTGTCCTATGTGTACCCCAATTTAAGAAGGTGTGTGCCCCGGGAGGGTGGGCCGGTGTCCTGCTCATCACGGTGCCCCCGGGGCTGGCACAGAGCAGACGCTTGGATGCTGGTGGGATTGGCAGAGCGTTGGCCACTGTTGAAGCTAAAGGTGAGGACCAGCACACCCGTCTCTCTACTTCTCCATCTGCCTGCGAATGTCCATTATGAAAAGCTAAAAACATATATTTGAATGAATAAATTTTGGGATCTTTCAAGGCAACCCCACTTGGGACTCCAGGAGCCAGGCAGGCAGGTGGGGAGACCTGGAGGGGCTGGGCGGGGAGCTGAGGGGACAGAATGGATAGTGGCCTTCTCTCCAGCCCTGCCTGCTGCGTGAGGCCAAGCGCCCCGACGCCCAGGGCTCTGCCTGTCCTAACCGGACCGGCGACTGGGAAGGCAGTGTTGGGGGACGGACCCGCGAGTGGGAAGGCAGTGTTGGGGGACTGACCGGCGACTGGGAAGGCAGTGTTGGGGGACGGACCGGTGACTGGGAAGGCAGTGTTGGGGGACGGACCGGCGACTGGGAAGGCAGTGTTGGGGGACGGGCCGGCGACTGGGAAGGCAGTGTTGGGGGACGTACAGGCGACTGGGAAGGCAGTGTTGGGGGACGGGCCGGCGACTGGGAAGGCAGTGTTGGGGGACAGGTGCCTGGGCACGAGGGTCTCTGGAGTGCTGTTCCAGAGCCGGTTGTCTGTTTATCCCGAGAAGGGTGGACGGGACGGGAAGGGCGGCGCGGCCTCAAGCCAGGACTCGCCATCGGCTCTGGTCTGGGTGCCTGTGGACTCCAGCGGCCTGGGGACGGTGTCCGCCCCGAAGCACTGAGATTGTCCTTTACAGCTCCCCTCTAATTGTAGAGGCGGAAGAGCTGCTACAGTCATTTCCTTTTTTTTTTCTGATTAGCATAATCCCCTCTGATCTTCCTTTTCCCTTTTTTTAAATCCTCACTCACCCAAGGAGTGAGGATATTTTTTTCTCCATTGATGTTTAGAGAGTGGAAGAGAGAGAGAGAGGCGAGAGAGAGAGATATCGATGTGGATGAGACACATCGCTTGGTTACCTCCAGCTCCCACCCCGAACAGGATTGAACCTGCAACCGAAGTCAGCCCTCAGCCCCTCAGCCCGTGGGCTGACACTGCAACCACGAAGCCAAACCGGCCAGGGCTCTTTTCTATTTTTACTGTGATTGCTACATGCTCTCAGTCCACATACTCTGCAATTCTGTTGACCAAAGAGGCTAAAAGAAAAGGCTAAGTCAGAATTGTCGCTGTCTGCCCTGTGAGGTGTGAGAACTAGAGGGGCCCGTGCACGGAAGCCAGGGGTGCAGCTACACGTTGAGGCCCAAAGGGATGGGCTTTTCCTGAATCAGAACTTTTTAAAAAAATATGTTTTTTACTGATTTGAGAGAGAGAGGAAGGGAGAAGGAGAGAGAGAGAAACATCGTGTGAGAGAGAAACACCAATCAGTTGCCTCCCACATGCACCCTGACCAGGGATTGAACCTGCAACCTGGGTCTGTGCACTGACCGGGAATTGAACCAGCGACCTTTCTGTGCACAGGACGACACTCAACCAACTGAGCCACACCGGCCAGGGCATGAATCAGGGTGTTTTATCAAGGTGTGAAGTGTTCAGAAATCCAAGGAGAGCTGAGTACTGCAGAACAACGATGCCACCCAGGGGCAGATACAAATGCTGACCTGCCCACCTTTCGGGGTCAGCCGTGTGCGTGTGCGTGAGCGTAACAAAGAAGGTGTGTCTTTCGATCTGAGGAACTTCAGGGAAACCAGCCGAGGAAGCAAAGTGTACCTTGTCCTCTGAGGAAGGGCCCCGCCTCCCACTGCCGTGGGCCAGTGATGATCCCTGGTAGAGGCTGAACCAGCCACAGAAGCAGCAAAAGGGCCCAAGGAATCCACGCCGACCGCCTAAGTGCGCTTGGTTTGGGGGACAGGAGGACACGGAAAAGACGGACACTTCGCGGCCCTCGTGGGAACTTTCTTAGGGGGAGGAAGAGACTCCTCCACAGTTCCTTTGGCTACAGGAGTAACTACAGGGAGAGCGAGAGGGTGAGAGGGAATTGAAGCCCCCAAGCCCCGAAGCGGTGCTTACTCGAGAAGCATGGGTAACCCTGGAGTGGCTGCTTTCCCATCCGCCCCACAGCCAGCCATTCGGTAGGGACAGCTGGTGACGCCTCAGGTGTTGGGTTTAGAACGATGGGTGAAACGCTCCGTTGGGGACATGATCCCGGTCCCTGACAAGCCAGGAGGTCCCAGGAGGGCGATGGGGATGGTTAACCTGGGTCTTGGAAGGTGGGCCAGGTTTGGACAGGCAGGGGCTGGGAGAGAACGCTCAGCCCACCATCTCTGTTTGGCCCTCACTGGTCACATCCAGGCCAGGCGCTGCCAGAGGGGCCAACACCGGCCCTCTGGCTTTGCTCCTGGTTCCGCTCACGGAGGCTCAGGAAAATCAGGACACACCTGGACACTGGGCTCCGGTCACCTCAAGTGGCCTCACCGACCTCCCAAATCCCAGGAAGGTTCTGCAGGGAGCCGTGATTTCCCTGAGCCCGCGGTCGGCGCCGGCATTTGCATGTGAGCGCTTGCAGGACTTGGTCGACATGCAAATATCCGTTTGCTGTCAGAAGAGTAGCAGACAGGAGGGCCGCCAGATTTAACTCCCAGGGGAGAAGCTGCCGTCCGGCAAGCATGTCAGAGGCCTTGAATAATGGGCCCGCCCTCCCTATTAGCAAAACCTGACTTCTAGTTAAACAGTAGGTCCAGACTGAATTCTAGAGCAACGAAGGGTTTATTACTTTATTATTTAAAGCAAGGCTTCTTTTTAAACCATGTCTACGAATCCAGCCCAGGGTGTCTGTGATTCCTCGTTGGTTGAGGGCGAGGCACCGACTGTGTTCCTCTAAAATTCACCTTTGTATCCCGTCAGATCGGTTCTCCAGTTCCTCCCAAGACTCGGACTCGCGGAACTCCAGAGCTGCCGAGTCCTCCGCTCCACACCGCCCAGGTCACACAGGGCCCCACCGTCCGGAAGTCACTGGATAAGCTGAACATAGCTAGGACGTAGGCAAGTTTTTCTGACTGCCTTTTCCTTGTCTTACTATCCCACTTCTCACGTTCTGCCCAGATGTCTCCTTACCACACATTACACACGTCCCATTGCACTCAAGGGACACAACATTTGACACACCCCTTGCTGTCTCGTCTCTAGCACCGCCGGGTGTGGGAGCCTGTTCCACCTGGCGGGGGCGCTCGGGACTATCCGTGCGGTACCAGCAGTGTGACCCCCTTCTGACAGAATGAAGCTCCCCTCCCATTTGAGTGGCAGGTCTTGCAGGCTCCAGGAAGCTAAGAATGCTTCAGAACCCATCCACCTGGCTCCAGCCACGGACACGGCACAGCCCACCCAGCCTGCCCCAGCCCACAGTCCACGGACACCCTCAACCAGAGATGCTTCCCACCTCCCGGCTCCCTGGTCCCAACCCCTGCGCCTGGAGAAGCTGGAGGAGCCCCAGAAGCCAGGGAGACTACAAAGCAAGCTCCTCTCCCCAGGGACACAGGTCAGGCAGGGGCTGGTCCCTGTCACATGGATCCTGAGGGCCCGACGGCTCAGCCACGGGACGAAGGCGGCCGTAGAATTCCTCCCCCTGGTCCCCACCGCCAGGCTCCTCTACACACACACACATCACTTCTAACAGCCGGAAACAGCAGTCCCCATCCATCCTTACTTTTCCCCCAGCCGCTGGCTCTGCCTAAATGAATGACTGTCCAACCGATCACTAACTGCATTAGGCCCGGTGGGCAAGAGAGGCCGTGGCTGCAGAGGAAGGCTGTGGGGCAGCTCATGGCAGCTGCATCACCGTCAATACGGGAACACACCCCACACACACCCATCTGCTCCTCTCACTGCTGCCTAGCAATCACATCCACGGCCACAGGGAGAGGCTGCACCCTGCACACACACACACACACACACACACACACACACGCCCTGGGGGCTCCCTCCCCCGCAGGCCCAGCAGAGAACGGGGCAAAGGGCAAAGGGCAGCGTCCTACCGAAAAGGCCATGGGGCTCCGACTGGCGCCTCTCGGTGCTCCGGTTGGTCTCCTTGTGCTTCTTCTTCCCCCTGAGGCTGCCGAAGCGCTTCATCGGGAGCTGTGGCCCCAGGAGCGGCAGAAGGCGACCATACCCGGACCCTCGGAACCCCCTTCAGCCCCGGGTGGCGGGGGGCCAGGAGAGGTGCAGCATCAGTCAGCAGGTGTCTGGCGCCCGGCAGTCGGCCACCAAGAGCTCAGAGACAGCGGGGAGTCCAGGCGAACTCCCGGGGACCCCGAGGCGAACTAGGATGGGTCCCTCTCCGGGGCGCAGCCTCAGCACACACAGGGGGGTGACCCCGGTGCAGCCCTTCCTCCCGCAGGCCTCCGGCCGCAGCAGCTGGGGCAGCCCGCTGGCCTGGAGCCGCTGGGAGCCGCCGGCAGCACAGGCAGAGCCTCGCCCGTGGGTCTGTTTATGGAGTTCAGGTCAGCTGTGTGCTCAGACACCCCAGGGGTTTCTCCTCCTTTACAGTAAGGAAGGAGGGAGGACGAAATAGGCAAACGGAGCGCGGCCCGCTGGTCATGTGCGGGTCTGCGATGTCTCTTTAAAAAGACTGTAAAAGGAAACCACGCTGGGCAGACAAATCCTTGGCACCAATTGGCCGGAGCGCACTCCCATTATGACATGACATCACACAACTATTTTGATTCATGTGTTCCAGGGGCTCAGAAGGCTCCGGCGCTTCTCCGTGGAGAAGTCACATGTCCCTGGAAATCGCTGAGTCTACTTCAGCGCTGGGCTCCTTGCGATGAAAGAAACAAGACCACCTGTAAGTGGGGGACCTGGGGCCCCCTGGGATTCATGGGAAGGGCCAGCAAATTTGCTAAGAACTGTAGAATGACAGAGCTCAGAAGAGGTTGTAAAGAGGGTCGTCTGGTCCAACCCCTCCCGGTACAGATGGGGAAACTGAGGCTTGGGAAGGAGAGGGGACTGATCCAAGGTCCTGCAGGTAATGTCAGAACCAGGGCTAGAATTCTAAGCCAAACCACGACCTAATTAAACAAACCAAAAAACTTTTAGCTTGTGTTTTGCAACTGTGAAACAAATGTTAAAACCACGAGAGGGAAAAAAGCCCCCCCCCCTCATATCTTCACTAGCCTACAGGAAGACACAGGACCTGCTGACCTGCTTCGTGACCTTGAGAAAGTTTCTCCCCGCCATGGGCCTCAGTTTCCCCCTCTGTGAACCAAGAGGAGCCGTGGACATGTTAGGATCTAGTCTATTTCTCAGCCGGAACTTCCGATGGCCTCTCAGTGTGCCCTTCCTTTCCTGCTGGACCAAAGGGCAGCTCAGTGGCCCAACATTTGCTGCTAGGATGTCTGAACGCACACACCCAATAGGCCTGGCCCTCAAGGAATTCCCCAAGGACTTGGAGAGACAACGATAAGCTGTTAAGCAACACTAACTCATAAAGAAGCTGTATGAGAATGAGGTTAAGAGGCGAGAATGGGCGTGTGTCATCAGCACCGATGGGTGGGGGGGTCGCGTGGCCCAGCTTGGAGAGGAGAGCGCGAGCTGGCCCTGAGGGTTGAAGGAAAGGAGAGAGGCCAGGCCCCCACCTGGGAGGAGCTGAACCCCCAGAAACAAGGTGTAAAACCTACCTCCAGCCAACTCCCCGATATTCTAGTGGGTTATCTCTGTGGTTAAATATCTCAGCCCAAATTTACTGCGATAAACTCTGAAAAAGACTAAGTAG